CCCCATCATTCACTATGGTAAGATTTTTTGTTCTGATGATGCCTTACACCTGATCCCTTCGACACCCCGTGGTTGCATAGGCTGGTGTGCTTCCCTGTTTGAACGTTTTTTATGAAGTATTTTTTATGGTGATGCTTTTATAGGATGTAGATGGTGTAGGAGTGTCACCTTATGAAAATTCCTTTCCAATGCCTACTTTCAGTGTATTTTTTAAAAGGATCTTCACATTTAGTATTTGACTCCCAGAACATATCTCAAAACTCAGAACCCATTCAGGTGCTGTACTTTATAGAGACTCGTGGTGAGTTGGGCTTTGATCTGTAAGGTTGGCTATTCAAAACCACCAGGCCTCCTTGGAAGAGAGATGGGATTTCCACATCTATATTCAGTGATAGTCTTGGAAACTCACAAGGGCAATTCCTCTCTGTCCTTTAGAGTCGCTATGACTTGCCATCGACCCAATGGCAGTAAGGTTTTTTTGTGTTTTTTTTTGCTGTTGTTGCTTGTGGAACACAAGAGGCTGCATGAACATAGCCCCCCTTTGTAAGGAAGGAGCTATAATGAAAAGTTGTATTATCAGTCTTTGTGATTTTGTAGAAATTCAGTTTTTAAAACAATTTATGTCTGTGTACGTAACTCCAACCCAATTCAACCTAACCCAACCAGACATATATAACATTGAGGCAAGTCATACTTTAAAAATTCTAGGTAAGTGTAAAAGCCCTAACCTATTGTTTCCTTGTCTTTAGACAATCTGCCAGTTGTCTGGGACAACTTTGCATTTTAAGTGCATATTTTCTAAAGCAGTTTTATCATATGCAGATCACAGGTTTCTAACTGCAGGATCCCAGCATTACATGGAGCATCTGCCCATATCTTCGATATAAAGGTTCTGGGAACTGATTTTTTTCCCCTCTTAAATTTTTCTAAAAAAAAAAAATTAAAAACAATTTTACTGGGGGCTCTTACAGCTCTTATCACAATCCATCCATCATCCATTGTGTCAAACACCTTTGTACATATGTTGCCATCATCATTTTCAAAGCCTTTTCTTTCTGCTTGAGCCCTTGGCATCAGCTCATTTGAAGCTTGTGCCGTTAGTTTCCCAA